CCACCCCGTCTCGCCCGCCACATCACCCAGGGAACCACGTGCAGGCTGTTGCCCGCAACTCTGCCTGTCAAGCGAAGCCCGCCCCCAGGGCAGGGGAGGGGACGCGGGGGCGGGGTGGGCTGTGCCCCGCGGGAACCTGGCTGGCCCGTGTGCCCTCCGGTGCCAGCTCGGCTCTCTTCGCCTGGTGTTCCCACGGGCTCCCGGGAGGTAGCGGACAGTGCGGTGGAGAGGCGCAGAGCCCTGCCCCGAGGGGCCGGAGGCCAACCAAGGGGGCGCCCGGGCGCTCGGCCCCGGGGGAAAGGCAGCGAGGAAGAGAAGCTGCCCAAGTGACTAGTCTTGGAGGTGCCCTCTCTCGAGGAGGAGCTGAACGCCCGGGAGCCCTTTTCCCGGGTGTCATTGGCTTGAACAATCTCTGGCCGCTGGAGAGGTAGGGCAGCGCCGGCTCTGGGGGACCTGGCCTTGGATCATTTTCCGAACCTGCCCCGCGATTTTTGCGCATCAGGAGCCAGACCCCGGCTGCGCGCGCCGGGCAGGACTCCGGCGCGCCTCCTGGGCGTTGTGGTGCTGCGGCGCCTAGCGAAGCCCGCTTTCGGAGCTCCGGGGGCTTTTGAGAGACACAACCTCGAAGCAAGGTAGGTGGCTCGCCCAGGCGTTGAATTGGGGTTGATGTGGGTAAAGCTGCGATCTGCTCAAGGCTTGGCGAACGACCTTTGCCGCCTTTTCGCTTTCTAGGGCGTATGGAGGGCTGCTGTGGAGCCAGGGACTTGGAGGAGTGAGGCGTGTATTTTCAGCTGCACCTCAGAGAGGGGAGAATTCTGTCACCACCAGAGAGGCAACCGCCCCAAAATGTGACCGCGATTGACTAGATCCGCAGAGGCCTGGGAATCTCCGGATTGATAGCCTAGAATATGCTAAAAAGCCAGTGCTTTCCACTGGGAACTGAAGGGTCATCTGGTGAATGCAACAGTGACCTGGAGCAAGGGAGTCAGAAGACAGTTCTAGAGAGCAGGGAGGACCTTCCAAGGGGCTGACTTGGGTGGCCAAGGGTAGGCTCCTGCCCCGCGATTGTTGCAGCCCTCTGATGGGATGCTGGTGAGGTCCTGCGGCCCCGGGAGCCGGTGGGGCTGTGCGAGGGGCCGCCCAGTGGGTGAGAACTGCAGGTTTGACTGACCTCTCGTCCCTGCTTAGGAACTGGAGGGTGTCAGAGCCCCCCGCGTGCACCCCCTCAGCAAGATGAGGACTCTGAACACCTCTACCATGGAAGGGGCTGGGCTGGTGGTGGAGAGAGACTTCTCCTTCCGCATCCTTACAGCCTGTTTCCTGTCTCTGCTCATCCTGTCCACGCTCCTGGGGAACACGCTGGTCTGTGCGGCTGTCATCAGATTCCGACACCTGCGGTCCAAGGTGACCAACTTCTTTGTCATCTCCTTGGCCGTATCGGATCTCTTGGTGGCTGTTTTGGTCATGCCCTGGAAAGCAGTGGCGGAGATCGCTGGCTTCTGGCCCTTTGGGTCCTTCTGTAACATCTGGGTGGCCTTTGACATCATGTGCTCCACTGCGTCCATCCTCAACCTCTGTGTGATCAGCGTGGACAGGTATTGGGCCATCTCCAGCCCCTTCCGGTATGAGAGGAAGATGACCCCCAAAGCAGCCTTCATTCTGATCGGCGTGGCATGGACCTTGTCGGTACTAATCTCCTTCATCCCAGTGCAACTCAGCTGGCACAAGGCCAAACCCACAAGCCCCTCCGATGGGAATGCCACTTCCCTAGGTGAGACCATGGACAACTGTGATTCCAGCTTAAGCAGGACATACGCCATTTCGTCCTCCCTGATAAGCTTCTATATCCCCGTGGCCATCATGATTGTCACCTACACCAGGATCTATAGGATCGCCCAGAAACAAATACGGCGCATCTCGGCCCTGGAGAGGGCAGCCGTCCATGCCAAGAATTGCCAGACCACTACAGGTAATGGAAACCCCGCGGAGTGTTCTCAGCCAGAAAGCTCCTTTAAGATGTCCTTCAAAAGAGAGACTAAAGTTCTGAAGACCCTGTCGGTGATCATGGGGGTGTTTGTGTGCTGCTGGCTGCCTTTCTTCGTCTTGAACTGCATGGTGCCCTTCTGTGGGTCTGGGGAGACCAAGCCCTTCTGCATCGATTCCATCACCTTCGACGTGTTTGTGTGGTTTGGGTGGGCTAATTCCTCCTTGAACCCCATCATTTATGCCTTTAATGCTGATTTTCGCAAGGCATTTTCAACTCTCTTAGGATGCTACAGACTTTGCCCTACCACGAATAATGCCATAGAGACGGTTAGCATCAATAACAATGGGGCTGTGGTGTTCTCCAGCCATCACGAGCCTCGAGGCTCCATTTCCAAGGACTGCAATCTGGTTTATCTGATCCCACATGCGGTGGGCTCCTCCCAGGACCTGAAGAAGGAGGAGGCGTGTGGAACGGCCAGACCCTTGGAGAAGTTGTCCCCGGCCCTGTCTGTCATATTGGACTATGACACTGATGTCTCTCTAGAGAAGATTCAGCCCATCACACAAAATGGACAGCATCCGACCTGAGCTCTGAGATGAATCCTGCCAGACAGGCTCACCCCAAAAGCCGGAGGAGACTTTCGGTGGCTTGTTGTTAGGAAACTAAGGTGCGGTGAGGCCCTGAGACGTCAGGCAAGCCCCCCTCTGCTGCTTTCCCTCAACACACAACTAACTACGTTTTAAAATACATTCCAGTGTGTTTTCTGTGTTGTTCGTAGTGAATCAAAGAGGGGCATATGTGAAGTGAACGTTCACAGGGACATGTCTTTGGCTCCAAAGTTATTTTTAGAAACTGATACTTATCTTAGGACTTAAAATATAGGGCAAAGAATCAACAGTGAACGGCATCGATTTAGAAAATTAATCCTTTCCAGGACGGAAGGAAATAAGAAGGGTTGAGTTTGCTGTGTACAAACAGGTGCTAACAGATGTCCAAGCAAAGTTTTCCGATTGTAAAGGTAGGTGCATGCCTTCATAAATTATTTCTGAAACATAATTAAGCCTTACAGTAGGAATGGGATTTTTTTTTTTTCCAGACTTGAGAGATGCTTTGTTGATACTGGTTTTATTAATTTATTGTATTGTGTGGGTATTTTTAATTTATTACAATAAATCTATATTTATCATATGTCATAGGATAAACTTATGAGTTATCTGAGACCTTGTTCGTCCATCTAAGTAGTACCTTATTGGCCAGTGAAATAAACACACAAACTCTCTGAGATGCTAAATGCCCATGTATCACTTCCAGCAACACAGCAAAGACTGATAGGAAATGAAGTTGTGATAATTCCTTAAAGTTCATGGGCATAAATAAATAAGGAGGGGAGAATTGACAAATGCCGTGGATGTTTTTCTGGAAAGATTCTGAAAAACTTAAAAAGGCATAGCTACTACTGTGTTCAAATGTTTTTTAATGACAGAGACTTTCCCAGGAGAGAGATTTGCAGTTCTGTAAATATCTTTACTAAAAGCCAGCTTAAGAAGAACCTGACTTGAAACTCATGAGCTTAGGTGGTAATAAAAAGTATGTGCCACTTTGTATTTATGTAAAATAATTGGCCCTCTGTGTCTTTTCTCATTTCCATGTCAGATAGCTTTTCCGAACCAAACAAATTGCTGTCCTGGTTAAACATGTGTAGCGAAGACAGTAGGTTTCCTTAACTCTCGCGTGACAACAGTCGCACCAATGGACAAAGGTCAAATCCTGCATTTCTGTCTTACCAGGTCAAAGCGCACCACTCAGTGGGGTGACTTTTTGTAGTGCTTTAATCTGAAATTAGAATTGATTTTTTTTTTTCCTAGTCTAGATGTTAATAGTGTACTAACTAACGAATAGTGCCTCATTATCATCCTCGAGTTAGACACTTCTCTGGGTGGAAAAAACAGGAGACCCCTTCTGGGTGGGTGTGTTAAGTGCCCCAAAGCCATCAGTATCTCTTGACAAATGCTAGCTCCTTCTCTGTGCTTCAGAATCAAGTTCCTATCTCATCATCTCAACTGTATAAAGTATCAGTATAGAGTCTCTCTTGCCAGATACTCATTCAAGTGGGGCGTTTCAAGAGGATTTCTTTGAAATGTTTACAAAGTATTGTTGACAAGCAATTTACTTAACATTTAGATGACATGGGTCACAAGAAATAAATTGACTGAAAAGTATCTCCTGCATCAGGTCCGTGTTATTTATGCATTGTGAATGTTTCTTCCTTTTATTGCCTGTATGCTTTCTTACATATAATAAAATTATTTTGTGAACTCAAATCAACCCTGAATGGGCTGTGTCGTGTTTGTTAAATGTATTTTAAAAACTAGGCTCCTTCAGACCTACAAGTAAGAAAACATGAGCATTTTTGAGGATAACCTTACTTTTGTTTTTCTTTTTAATGGAAATTTCTCCTGTTACGTAGGTCACATGTTGCCTTTGAATATTTAAACAGGAAATGTTTTTGATTTCGACTATATACTCTCGGGGTGTTTTTTTTTTTTTTTTTT